TAAGTGAAATGTGTTAAAATATAATTTGGAGTTGTTAATTTTTGAAGTTAGCTTTTGTTTTGTTGATTGAAAATTTTTCCTCCTTTTGCTTTCTCTTTTTGCTTGTAATGACAAGGGCACTGAAGTTATTTAATAAAATTTTTAAATCCCTCTCTAAGTAAGTAATCTGGTTAGTTCTTTAACAAATTTAATGACCCAAAATTTTTTTTTAGTTATTGAGATATCTATTTAAAGAATTTTCCCAACAAAAAATATGGAAAAATTAGAGAGAAGGACCAAGAAAAAATTATATTTCTTGTAAAGGATTTTAAAAATTGTAATATTTAGAAAGACCATAAATAAAAATATACATATACAAAAGCTAAATTGCCCCTGATTAAATCACTTACATTTCTTCTAATCATGCCTAAAATGTTTGATAGTTACCATTAATACCTTTTGCCCTGTTTTTATTCATCACTAGCTAAAGACAAAAAGCATCCAAAATTTTTAACCAAAAATAAAGTTTTCTTCAACCACTGAAGTAAGGGCAAATTGTTCATCTCCATCTCTTTTTTCTTAGAAAAAGTTCATCCTATTAAATATCTTACAAGAACAACAAGAAGTTTTATCCCATTAGGTGGGGTCGGTTACATGAATCACACGACTTCATTGTGTTTTATCAACAACTTAGTTCTTAGATATGTTGTTGGCTAGGAGGTCTCGTTCAATGACCTTATTGAGTGTTTTTCTCGGTCTTCCTTTGCCTCTTTTTATGGAACTCTATACTGTCTGATCTACCCTCCTCACTGAGGCCTCCAATGGCTTTCTTTGCACATGTCCAAATCACTTTAAGTGATGCTCAACTATTTTCTCTTGGATAGGCGCCACACCAACTCTTACTATGATATTTTTATTTCGAATCTTATCTTTTTTTATATGACCACACGTCCATCTCAACATCCTCATTTCCACCACCCCACTTTGTGCTCTTATTTTTCCTTTATTGTCCAACATTCACTACTGTACAACATAGTTGGTCTTATATCAGTCCAATAAAATTTTTTTCTTAAGCTTCTTAGGTACCTTCTTATTGCAAATAACTTTGGTAGCCTTCCTCCATTTTAACTAGCCAGCTTGTATTCTATGAGAAACGTCTTCATCAATTTCACTATCCTCATGTACAATAAATCCTAGGTATTTAAACTTTGATACTTGAGGAATCATTTGATCCCCCATCTTCACCTTCAAATCATCATTGTCTTGCCTCCTCCCAAAATTGTAATGCATTTATTCTGTTTTGTTTTTGCTCAAGTGAAAACCTTTCAACTCTAAAGTCCTTCCCCGTAACTAAACTAGAGTTAATCTCTTCTTTTGATTCCACCATGAGGACTATGTCATCCGTGAAAAGCATACACTTAGGGATTCTTTCTTGAATAAGCTTGGTTAGAACGTCAAGAACAATATTAAACAAATAAAGACTCAAAGAAGATCCCTGATGTAGGCCAATCTTAATGGGAAAGTTCTTTATCTCACCTCCAGACATTCTTACACTAGTAGTTATCTCCTCAAACATATCTTGTATGGCTTTGATATAAGCACCCCGTATACCTTTCTTTTCCAAAGCCTTCCAAAGTACTCCCTCCGTTCCTTATTATAAGAGACGAATAACCGAATTACATTGATCAAAAAAGCAGTTAAAATTAGTTAAGAACAATCAATGTGTAAAAAATATAATTTTTTCTCAAAAATGCCCTCATTAATAAGGAGAGAGAGCATGAGAGAGAACAATTAAATTATTGAAAGAAAGAGAAGTGGGAGGGAGAGAGAGTGTGAGTTGGAGACAATAAATATGGGTAAAATAGGAAATCAACACAAAAAAGTAGAGACAACTTTTAAGTGTCTCTTATATATAGGAACATGCCATTAGCATCAAATGTCACTTATAATAAGGAACGGAGGGAGTACTTCTCTTGGCACATGATCATAAGCTTTTTCCAAGTTAATAAAAACCATATATAAATCCCTTCTTTTACTCCTATATCTTTCCATTAACCCCCTTAGTAAATAGATTGCTTCAGTTGTGAATCTCCCTAGCATAAATCCAAATTAGTTCTCCAAAATAGAAGTATTCAACCTTAACCTATGTTCAATTACTTTTTTCCACAACTTTATTATACGGCTTATAAGTTTTATTCTTCTGTAGCTTACACAGTTTTGAATATCTCTTTTATTCTTGTAAACAAGAACTAAAATGCTTTTTCTCGATTCATCTGGCATATTCTTGGAGCATAAAATTTCATTAAAATGCTTGGTTAGCCACAATTCACCCTCCTCGCTTAAACATTTCCAAACTTCAATAGGAATATCATTAGGCCCAACGGCTTTACTATTGTCCATTTTCTTGAGAGCTGCCTTAATCTCTCCGATGCGAATCTTGTGGTAAAAAGCCAAATTCTGATTATCTTCGCTAATTAGCAAGTCCTGTAAGTTCTTAGTTGCACATTCACTTCCCTTGTTAAACAGCTTGTAAAAGCCAGTCTCCCATTTGTCCTTAGTATTACCATCAGTAACTAGCACTTTACCATCTTCATCTTTTATACACTTCACTTGATCCAGATTAAGTAATTTCTAAAAACTAACAAGATATAGTAAATGAGCCAAAATGTCGATAAAAATATACAGAGGGACAAAGATATTATAAAATTTACAAAAAATTAATAATAAATTATTTTTATGATTTTAACCAAGATCAAAATAAAAATTATTCTTCGTAACATATTTTAACATGCATAAATTTTAAAAAAATTTAATCTCAATGCTCCTAATTTAATGTTATACAAAAAATAAAATTAAATTCGTATATAAAATTTAGCTTTCTGTATACAAAATTTAGAACACAGACTATTAAATTTTAGTGATCAAATTTAAGTGAACATTATTACATATAATTATCTTGTTCAATTTTTATAATGTATGGATTGAAGAAAAAATAATGAAAATTGATGACAATGGAGTGCTCCCCTATTTTGTCAGCCAGCAATTGTCAACTAATTGAGATGTGGTTAGAGGGAGCATAAGGAAGTTTGGTTAGGGGTAATTTAGTATTAGTATATTTATATTTTGTTTTTAGATCCTTCTAAGTATTTAGAATCTTCAAGATCCTCCTCAATAAATATTATTCCTTTTAGGTCCTTTATTCTAATTTTCTTAAGACATCTTTGTTATATAGGATAGGTCCAAATAAATTCTCATTAATTTTTTACATCAATATAATAAATAAAATCAAGAGCAAGATAATATATAAATAATTCTATTTTAAAAAGTGAAATTCGCATGAGTCAATAGCAGGCATAAAAAAACATATATGTATGTTCACTTTCTCACTTAGTAAAAATAATTTCTAGATTTTCTAAGTGCATACTGATGATTAAAAAAATTCTTAAAATTCTTAAGATAAGAAATATGTGCTATATATGATAGGTTGAGAACAAATTCATCATTGATTTCATACATTAATATAAAAATAAAATGAATAGCAAGTCAATATAAATAATACAATTTATTAAAAAAGTAAAAATCACACAAATCAATTGCAAGCATAAAGCAGATATTTCATACTCATGGTCAATTGTATGTTGTCGCTCTAGATTTTGAAAAAAGGAAGGCCTCAAAATTTTGATCTTTAATGACCAAAGAAATGCCACCAACAATACTTCTAATGTGGTTTTCAAAGAAGTTTCCTAGAATCTTTTTATTTCATACATGAATATAAAAGTAAAATGAATAACAAGTCAATATGTGAGTAATACAATTTATTAAAAAAAAAAAGTAAAAATCTCACAAATCAATGGTTGATGTAAATCAAATATTTCATATGCATGATGAGTTATATGTTGTGGTTCTAAAGTTCCAAAAAAGGAAGACTTCCAAATATTGATCCTTGAGGACTAAGCAAATGCCATCAACAAAACTCCTAATATAATTTTTAAAGAAGTTTTCTATAATTTTTCTATTTGATGGTTTGCTTTACAAAAACTTATGTTTAATAGTACTACTTTTCTTGAATTTTCTTGTATATCTATGTTATTTAGTTAAGCAACAATTTTCCTTTATTTATATTTCTCAGGAATCACATGCGCATTGCGTGAGTGTTATACTAGTTTACCTTTAGGAGCTGTTTGGTTTGAGGGGAGGGTAGGGTTGGAAGATTTTATCTTCACATTGTTTGGTTTGATTAAAAAAGAAATGAGGGAGGGATATTTAATGATCCCTTGTTTGGTTCAAGGAAGGAGGCAGGGATAGTAATATTCAATTTATTATTTTATCTTTACATTTTAGTTTATTTTTTTATTGATATATTTTATAAATCAATTTACATCTTAATTTAAATCATATAATTTAATAAAAATTCAGTCTTATCATGTTAATATGTGCATTAAAAAATTGGTACAGTATTTTTTTAAATTCTAATTAATATAATAATATATTTGAAATAATCAAATTAACAAATTTTATATACTCTAAAAAAATTGAAATTTTATTCTCTTTAGGCTATGCTTTTTTTCAGCTTTAAAATGTATTTATTAAAAACAATTAATTTTATAATATTATAATTTTTTTATATTAATTTTTATTATAATATATTTTTTAATTATAATAATTTATATTTTTTACTTAGGATAATATATTTTTATTTAAAATAAATATTATAATAATATATTTTATGGATAGTAATAAAATATCAAAAAAATCATAACAGTATAATGGTCCAAAAACTCCTAATTTAGGAAAGAGCTAAAATGAGAAAAGAAACCTCTCTAAAATTTTTAACCAAATAAAATGCTTATTTTTCTTCTCCTCCAACCAAACACGCCTTTAAAGTTTAAAAATGAGGGGTAACATTAATTATAGACTATACGGCGGTTTTTTTTTTCTTTTTTTAGATAGTTTTGTTTAAATAAAGTAATAGCAGCCGATAACAGATTACCATACGGCAAGATGCAGGTTCGTATAAGCCGGAGAAAAGAGAAGATGAACAAAAAGTTTCGGTTTTGGCCGCCAAAAGGATAAAAACGAAAGGCCTTGGAGTTTTAAAGACGGCTTCGAGTACTTTTCTTGTCTCCTCTGGTCGATCTCCGCTCTCAATCAATCGACGGATCTGAAAGTTAAAGATGTTCTTTTGTAGAGCTTCAAGGTAAGTTTCCTTTGTTTGCTGCATTGTCTCCATCTTTATTCCGTCTTTCTCCTTCATATGTCCTAACTCCGGCTGTCTCTTCTTTCCATGGCCTGCTTCATAGACATCCCCCACCTTCTATAGTCCAAATTACTAAGATTTTAGGATCTGTTGCAAGAATGAAACACTATACTATTGCTATCTCCGTTTTCGCACAAGCAGAATCTAAGGGGTTCACGCCAAATTTGGTTACACTGGGCATCTTGATTAATTGTTACTGCCATGTTGGTCAAATTGCTTTTGCTTTCTCTGCCTTAGGCAAGATTCTTAAGATAGGCTGTCATGCAAATACAGTTACTCTGACTACCCCCTAATGAAGGGACTCTGTATCAACAATGAGGTCGGGAAGGCCTTGGATTTTCATGATGATCTGATAGCAAAAGGTTTTCAGTTAAATGCAGTTAGCTATGGCACACTCGTCAATGGCCTATGCAAGATGGGAAAAACAAGAGCTGCGGTTAGACTGCTCCAAAAAATTGCTAGTGGGCCGGTTAAGCCTGGTTTAATCATCAATATATATATATAGAATCTTTTCCACCAAGCCGGCTCAAATATGGCTTATTCTCAGCTTGAGATACATATTACTGTTCACAAGCCACTTTAGGTCTACTTCGGACTTTGTTCGAGCCGATTTTAGCTAATGTCATGACTTGGGCTTCGCATTCAGCCTATTCGTTTCCAAGAGCTTTCTACCTATGTCATGACTTATGGCTTACCATTTATTTGATTCATTGACTCAGGCATATTACAGTGGTTGCTCATGGGTTGGCTTTTCTTTAATTTATTTAAATCTCAGCTAAAATGAAGTTTTTTTTTTTTTTAATTTTGTCATTTAAAATAATGATTGTTTAAAATGATCATGATGATATTTTGCTAGGTTGGACTCCTCCAATGAAAAGAATGCCTTAACTTCTTAAGGCATGGGTGTATGAGCATTTTTCAAACGCATAAAAAACTTCACAACCAGCCTTTCACGCATGCGTTTGCTTTCTTTCTGTGATATTTCCTACCTGTGCCTTAATTTGATTTCTGATGCCTGTGTACTTGAGTACTGCACTCTTTGTTTTACCCTGCAACTTGCATATGCTTTTGAAATTTTTGTTGTTGCCATATTTATATTTTTCCCTCGACGAAAACCATGGAAGAGCTCCTAATGAGAAGAAAGGTGTTGGATAATATATCAGTATGTTATTAACTTTTCGTCAGCTTTTATGTTGATATTTCCACTCAACGTTTTGGAATCTGTGACTGTGATACGCAAATCCAAATTGGGAATGAAAAGTAACTGCATTAATTTCATTCTCCTCCCCTTTCTCAGCCCTCATATTATGTCCTAGTGTTCTTGAATGCTAACATTGTTTTCACATTACTTGGCTGGGTTTGCAGAAGCAGAAGGACGAATTATAGCATTGTGTGCCCTGGGATGAAGGAGATGGTATAGTGACTCTTGCTAAGCCTTTATTATGGGATGTTTGAGTTGTGAGGAGGCATGGCCATTTCGGTTCGGTTATTTCACCCGGAGAGCAGTTTGAAAAGCAAACAAGTAAGTGGAAAGCAAAGTAGCATTTGGGAGAACATTTTATGCTCCAATAGATGCTTTTCTACTAGGCTTGCTTTTGGTGTCCATGCTTCTTATTCTGGTGAAGAAGAGACTGAGAATGGATATGTTGGGGAGGAGGGCATATGAAGAGTAAACCCTTCAGGTCATTAGATGCACCAAGTAAGGCTCCTGCAGCATCTATCACTAATTGCTGAGCATGGCTATATTCCCTCCCCTTGTTGCAATGTTCCATTTTGTTGACGATCAGCGAATGTTGTAAAAGTATTTAGTTTTCTTAACTAAATGATTTATCCTGCACTATTACATGATAAAGAAATCAATACGAGGCTTGAAGGTCTCTCTTTCACAAGCACAAAGATGGCAAGATTGAAGCTTACTAGTTGGTTTTACCCCATGGAGATTTTTTCTAAGATTCTACCTGATAAAACTTATGAGTATAGGTGCTGTTGTGTTGGACGTGGGTTTTGGCCTTGCATTGTTATTTGAAGTTGTGCAACTTGGTTCTTTTGAGTTGTGCAACTGGTTCACTTGATAAGGCACTGGCTGCATTTGTTCTAGGCTAGGCTTAGGGTGAAGAAAGAGATCAAAAGAATGGAAGCATTGGAGATGAGGGCATTGAAGAGGAATTCCTATAATTATATTCCTATAATTATATTGAACCTCAGTATTAATATGTATTTCCCTCTGTTGAAATGTTTAATTTTGTGGGGTGATGCCTACATGAACATGAGTGTGTTAATGAAATAGCAAAATCAAATCATTAATTTTCGTAGTTAAAAGTGCAAAAATACCTTTTACCTTTTTGATAAAGAGCATCACCATAAACAAATGAACTTTTTAAAACGGGATAAAAATATTAAATTTGTTATGAACCTACTTTTTCAGGCGTCACTCTGATTTCCCGCACTGTCAACTCACATCCTTTCCACTTCTCTCTGTTCTTTCTTTCCCTCTCACCCTTCGTTTTCCCCTTCATTTTTATTTATTTTAAATTTTTTAAGAATTATTTATTCAAAAATATTTAAATAAAATAATAACTTCATGACTTAATTTTTTTAAAATTCAACGTGAAAAGTAATGAAAAATAAATTTACAAAGTATTTTTAGAATTTTTTCATTTTAGTTGTGAAAAGGGTAAAGGACTGATATCTTCCAGTATAATGGCAAAAAACAAAATATCTTCTAGTAATCTAGTTTATCTAATTAGAGAAGGCAATCTGTTTTTGACCTGATTAGATAAGGTAGCCTAAACTAACTACTAACCACATAAAAAATGTCGGACCAACAAAATATGACTATGTAAAAATGATTTTCGCCCCTTGAGGGGAAAATATTAAAAAAAAAAAGTTGAAATGCATTTGGTATCCTGAGATATTTTTTCAGGTGCATCTAGCATCTTAAAATATGTTGTGATGCATCCAGCATGATATAGTATTTTTTAGGTGCATTTAACACTCTAAAATATATTTTTTTGTCTTGATACTAGATACACCAAAAAATATTTTTAGTGCTAGGCTCATTGAAAAAAATAATTTAAAATACTGGATGCACTTAAAAATATTTCAGGGTAATTTTTTTTTAATATTTACACCTCAAGGGGCAAAATTCATTTTTACATAGTCATATTTTTTTTGGTACGATGTTTTTTATGTAGTTAGTAGTTATTTTAACCCTATTAAAAAAATCTTGGCCTCATAAAACATAGAAGCTCTTCTTTTTGCTTTTTTTTCTTATTGGAATGATATAACGCGGTGGATAATTTTGTTTAATTTATTCTAGAACATTATATCTAGATTTATATCATATATATTTTTTGCCAGCAAAAATGATATTGTTAGGTATTTTTTTGGGGAAAATCTAAAAAAAGTGACTATTAAATTTTAAAATTTCAAATTAAAAATTACTATAAAAATATGTTATTATTTGCTTTTTGAGTGTAATCATTTTCTTTACAAAATGTAGTAGCTGATTTAAAATTTTAAAATTCAACAATCATTTTTTTAATCAAAATTCAACAGTTATTTTTTAAAATTTTTTTATGTCCTAAATATATATAGAGGTTATGGTTGTTATATGGTTGGTATTCTGTTTCTTTTTCTCCAATCAATTTTCTTGTTTTTTTCATACTCCTTCCTGTTTAAAATACAAGTTTTATAAGATAATATTTTAGTTTTGTCTAAATATTTAATGATTTTTTTAATTTTACCCCTAATATTTACTCTCTTTTTTTTCATTTATTGTTTTTTCTTACATATTCTCTCATTAATAAGAGTATATTTAAAAAACTATATTTTTCGTTTTTAACTGATTTTAATTGATTTTTTTGATAAATATAAATTTTATTTTATATTTTGAACAGGAGGAAGGAGGAAGCAATATATCAGAGAGGTGAAAGATTTTAAAAAGCATATTATAAAAGCTTTGAAAACCCTCCTCCTCCCGTCGCTTCTTGTCTGCTGCCAATTCTAACATCATCATCGTCTCTCCCGCCTTCCAAGGAGTCCTGTACTCACCTGCGTTCGTCGGGCTCTTTGTCACGGAGCTCACGCTCGTGCTCTCTCTGTGTTTTTTGGTACATCGGAACATAGGAGAGAAAAAAAATTAAAACGGGACTACGTCCTCATCCTAGCGCGCAGCACCGCCGACGACGATTCGGGGCTCAAAAGCTGTAAGTTCCGTTTAAGTGCGCTTTTTGCAAGGACATCAGCATGCAAATGCTGGTCTTGCTGAATGTTTTGAATCACCACGTTCCATTCTCTGTTGGGCAGTCTCTTACTTTAATCATTTTTTCCCCCACTCTTATGTTTTTTCCCCCGTTGCCACTTATGATAGATGTCTAGTGTTCTTATAGTCTATGGTGAAGTTAGAGAAGAAAGTGTTCTTTCCGTAAGGAATTTCAAGTAAACTAAACTCCTTTATTGGTGTTGTGTCAATTTTCCTGGTATGATGGCGTATTTGCCCTGCTTAGTGTTTAAAAAAAGTTATATTGATGCTGAAACTAATTCGGATGATCTTATGGCATGCTTATTTTCTAGATTCTTTGGATGATTAATAAGTAGTAAGCAGTGTTAATTAATTAGTGTCAGTATATCATCTTGTGAATGTATCTGACATTGAGCTGTAATTTTCTCTTGGCACATCAAATTTTCAGAACATTTTTTGGGTAAGAAGAATACGTAGTCTGTTATTCTGATATCAATGATTGCTTTCAGCATACTCCTCCGGTCCACAATATATTACCGTACTTAGATGGGAAAATTGATGTAATATATCTACTTTCTTCTTTATAAAAAGAACAAAGAAAAAGGAAATTATCTTAGATGGGGTATGACGGTCAAATTATTATTAGCTTCCCTCCCCTCCCCTCCCTCCGCTTTGTTGAATCAAAGAGAGCCTAAAATCTAGTTCCTTCTTCCTTCAATTTAAACCAGTTTTTTTACAACCCGTGAGCAAGTTATGTTTCTTTGCCTGTTTAATCAAATATTTAACTGTCTGAACTTTTCGTCTCATACTGCCATCTAAGCCATCATCTTGTGAGGCCTGATCATCTACCGTCTTTTCCATTCATGTTTCTCACTGATTGTTGTGACTTTATGATGTGCAGGTCTTTTGAATAACCCGTTTTTCATTGTCTTGATGATCATATTCCTGCATGATTACTTAACTTTATCTGCTCATTGAAAAAACGTTAACTTTATCTGTTTCTTTTTAGTTATGTAAGATGCTTGCTGAAGGAAGCAACCGCACTCGAGTTTCAGCAGCGATAGCCCCTCGCAAAATCAATGTGCAGAAATATGCAGAATCCCGAGCTCTTGAGCTTAAAAGTCTTAACTCCATTATAGCCAATCGAGTAAATAGTGATTTTAGGTCCCAAAGAAACAAGAGAAGAAGAACAACTGCATATGATAACCAAAATGCCAGAGAACGGTGTAGAAGGAAAAGAAGAAAGCGGGGAATATTTGATGAAAGCAATTCTTCTGTTTTGGAGAAGGACCAGATAAATAAGCTTCCAAGGCGTGTTCGACGGAGACTGGAACTTAAAATGAACCCAGAGAATGGCTTTTGCAGTTCAGGTGACGGAACTAGGAGGCTGAGAACTCATGTTTGGCATGCTAAGCGGTTCACCATGACCAGGCTTTGGGGCTACCACCTTCCTCTAGGTCTGCAAGGCAGGTATTATTATCCTTGGATTAGGAGCTGGGGACTTTGATCTTAATCAGTAACTACTGAGAAAGATACCTTATCCTATACACAAAGAAACTGAAGTGGGCAACATGGGGACTTAAATTTAATTTACAGATAAAGAGTAGTATTCATGTTTCATTTTTAGGTTACTGGATCATGGAAATCTGATGCTACAAAAATGTGGCTGTTCAATACCTCAGTTTTTTTTTCTTTTAATCTTTTCAAATGCATGAAGCAGTATTACTGAGATTATTTTGGAAGCAAGACTAACATGGATTATGTGTGAATTTAGGCAGGGGAAGGGGTTCAAGGGCACTTTTGAAAAGGCTTAAACAAGGGGTGCTTGTACATGATGCAAGCTATTGTACTGCCCTCCAGCTGGAGGGTCCAGAGGTTTGTATTCTTTCCACTGTAATTATTGCTTTTTTTGCTTTTTTAGGAACTATCTTCTTTCCACAATTCTCTATGTAAGAATAGATTTTTCTTTTTGCTAGCACATAAACCCTTGCACCAAGTGCATTGGTGCAACATTAATTGCATCTCATTTTTAGAATTTTTTTATTGATTATTTTAGTTTGCATCTTGTGTTTAGGATTCCTTGATTTCAGTATTAAGAATGGTACTAGTGCCTTCCCCAGATACCGATGATGGAAATAATGATGATTCTGTTCTTTCTGGTCTCTCCTATGGGACTGCTATGGTAGGTCACCCTATTGTAGATTCTAGTGTGAACTGTCGTTATCAGAGTATTAAAACAAAGAATAATTTTATTCATTGACAGCTCTGTGGAGTGGGAGAACCTTCTCATGTGATAGCTCCTGTGACTTATATGTGGCGACCAGTTTCCAATCAAGATGTGAGTTTAGAGCTTGATGTAGAGCATAGGACTTCCTTTAGACAGCATGATATGAGTGATCAAACAAGTAAACGTGAGATTGATGAATGTGAAAAGTCTGACAGTATGAGACCTAGTGCTTCCTTTAGACAGCTTTGGGTGTGGATACATGCTTCTGCCTTTGAAGAAGGATATGATATGCTAAAGCTGGCATGCCATAAAGAGGTTCGCTTTCTTCCTTAGCTCCTTTATGGACATCCCCGCCCTATCTTGTTTTATTTGTTTTATCACAGTATATATTTCACTTGATAAAGAAGATAGGGAAGGGTTGGTTAAATTTAATTTGTTGATGTAACATTTTCTTTTATGTTGACATGCTCAAATTCTTTTAGCAGTGCTGAAATTTCATTTTTGACACTGAAAGCATTTAGGATGTGATTTGAGTATGTAGATCCTCTTGTCTCACTATTGGAGAAAATGCACCTCTATCTGCAGTTAGTTGAACTAGTATGCAGCTCACCATTCAATGGACTTCATTTAGAGATTTTTTTTTTTGGGTTAATATAATCTTTGATCCCTCAAGTTTGCCCTCATTTTGGTTTTAGTTTCTCAAGTTTCAAACTATAGGTTTTGGTGCCTCAAGGGGCAAAATGGTCCAAGTATTTATTGGATTATAGGGACCAATGTTTTAAATGAAAATAAACTTAAGAGACCAAAACCAAAATGAGGGTAAACTTGAAGGACCAAAATTTGTATTAACCTTTTTTCTTTTTCTAAGACAAATTAAATAGGTTTGAGAGGGTATCACTGCATTGTCAATAGAGAATTCTTGGGGACATGATTTGAATGCTAAAATGATTGTTATTCGGATGATATTTAGAATTTTCCTCATGGCATTGCACACAAATTGAAACCACATTATATGATGAATATTCTCCTAAAAGACACTCTCTCCCCCCCTTCTCATCTATGTATACTATGTTTATTGTTTTCAGATGGAAAAAGATGGCATTGTGATCAAGTATGTTTCTCTTGATGGCCAACTTGCCAAATTAGAATTAATGGGATCAAAGTCATTTCAACTTCTTCAAAAGATATTGCATCCTGTTACAGGGTTAGTTGTTTATTTTAGAAAAACTGCTCATTTTATTTCACTTGTGATCTTCAATCAGGCTTATTATATTTGATGGCTTTACAGAATTTCAGAGAAACATTGGCAGTTGAAAAAACATTTGGCTACAGAGGAGGGTTCTATTTCTCAGAATAACAAATCACCTATATTTGAAAGTGAGGATAATTTTTCTTATCATGCAATGTTATCTCTTAATGTTAAGGATCCTCGATTATTGCCCAAGAAAAGTACCACAGTCCCACTGGAGCCAACTTTGATTGAGGCATTGTGTGATAAGCCACAAGGTAAATGTGAGGAGCTTCCTGACTTGGGAGGGACATTGGTGAATAACGAAGACGTACCCTCATTTTCATCAACGAAACTTGAAGACAACCAGTACGGCAATAGTGATCTGTGGGGTGCTACCACTAGAGTACTAAGGCCTCCATTTGAAGAGAGTGTCATTTCTAAGGAGAAACATCGCAAACGCATTATCAATTTCTGCCTTGATGATGAAAATTTCAGTGAGGCGAACTTCTTATCCAAGGAGCAGTGCTCAACATCTTGTCCTATTCTGCTTTTGAAAAATGACAAGAAGGAATTGGTTATAGGGTAACTTCCTCTTATTTTTGTTCCCTATATCTTTCTAAATGCTGCAACTTTTTCATTCAGTGCAATTTCAGGTGCACTTCATGAATATTGTGTGCAAGATTACTTAATAGTTAATGTTCACTGTTTACTAAAAAGATAAGAGGTAATTTATTTATTTTTTAAGTAAAATCCCTTAAACAACAGATATCTGTATTCTTTAAAATCAAAGAAGTTGGTGTATATGATTGCCTGCTTGGGATGTTTAAGGAAATAGTAAGATAAAAGTGTTACAATAATCTATATCTTAATGCCATAATAATATTACAATGTTCCCTGGACATGTATGAATTCTTGTTGCTGTAGATTCCGTCCTATTACTGTTACTTACCTTGCAATAATTGTTTTTTTTTTTCTTCCCATTTTTGTCAAGATGGTCTATAATACTACCTTTGAGTTGGGTCAAAGCCTTCTGGATTCCTCTCATCTCTAATGGGGCACATGCAATAGGTTTGAGAGAGAAGCACTGGATTGCATGTGAAGTAAGTCTTTGTGCCCCAAAATAATCAAAATCTTTTGGCCGTCCGCATTATTTATTGATTTTTTTTTTTTTTAAAATTCAGATGGGGCTACCATTTTTTCCTTCAGATTTCCCAGATTGTAAGGCATATTGTTGCTTTATGAAAGCTAAAGCCGCTTCGCTTGACCATAAAGCAGAAATTTGCCCCCTATCCATAAGGCCTTTGAGAGTTCCCATGCCTCCTAGATGGGCTATTGTTCGCATCAGTATTAACAAAGAGACTGGTAATGTGGAATTTCCTAGAGTTTCAACTGGGGAAAATGCGCCTAATGCCAATTCATCTCCAAACTCCTGCCATGAAAGCTTTAAAATTTCGTCATCTGAGTGTGATGGTAATCTGTTTGATGGAATTGTAGCAAGGACAGGTTCTATGCTGATTAGATTCCTTGATGAAATCAAGGCTGGTCAATTGCTTTTGTTTCCCCATGCTGCACACGAAAAGTCTCGAGTCTATAAGTTTGTCAAAGGTGAGGCAAAGCTTGATTTAAGCACCAGAAACTTTGGTAGTCATGACCGTAAGCTGGGCTTTGTTAGAGTTTATCTCTGCCCATATAAGGAAGGCATTTTTGAAGAGGGAGCCGTTGTTTGTGCACCTTTCCCTTCCGATATATCTTTGAGGATTTCAAGGTAATTAACTTTTAAATGTAAATTCCTACTATACTCTTTCATTGTTATTTCTTCTGCCTTTATTGGAATAATAAATGCATCTGTGATTGCTAAAATTATCATCTCATTACGAGGCAATCTGGCAAATAGCTATGTTATTTTTGAGTTATATGACACATCTAGATTCTGTCTACTTTGTGAATTTCATTTTATGGGTCAAATTTCTTTTGGTCATGAATCTGGCAGAATAGTTAAGTTCAGGCAATCTTGAGGAATCTTTTATATATGGATCGCCACCCCTATTGGAACCAGATAGTTATCAAGTTCAAAGGCCGCAGGATATATGCTTAAATTTTTTAATAAAACAAGGAACCATTTTCATCGAAAATGTCACTTATTTCATTTGTCTGATGGTTGGGAAAAGAAAAATTAAATCATTTCATGTATGTCTTCGCAGTTCTGAGAAAAGTGAGATGTTTGAGGGTGATAGGGGATTGTACTCCCAACATCCATCTTCTGGTAATTGTGGATTGCATATTCCAGACGAGTCAATAGCCAAAGAATCTCATCGGTGGCCTATTGGCTTTGTCACAACTCCAAGTGTTCAAGGAAGGTCTGGACAATCTTAAATTCTTCGTTTTCTTGGTCATCTGTTATTTTTGGATCCTTATTTCTTTTCCTTTGGAGCGTATTATGTGTACAACGAGTACACATATTTGTTGTTAATCGGATCTCACTAGGTGCAATCTCTTTGCAGCAAGAAGCTAGTTGCAGAGGGTCTTTGTGAAGCTATCTTACTAGCTCGTTTAAGAGAGGAGCAGTGGAAGGAGAAACCTCCCAAGCGAAGGAAGATGGAGATATACGTACTTGTGAGGAATCCAAGATCTTCGGTATATCGACTTGCCCTTGCCTCCATAGTCCTAGAGCGTCAAGAAAATGACGTTGACTTTTTGTAGGATTATTTGTTTGGTTGATGAATGCAACGCCCGACATAGGGTTAATTGTTTATTTATTTGTTTGTTATTACCATTGTTATCTTTTTCTTTTGCTTATGATAAATTACATAGGGGAGCAACTTGAGAGAAAGTAACTTCATAATTTTGTTTTGTATCCTTTTCATTAATACAATAGAATTATGATCTCCATGCTTCCATTGGACGCTGATCCAAGGCTAAGGTTTAATACATTTTTGCACTGTACAAATAAACAGCAAACAGAATTTTAGGCAAAAAAAAAAAGAGAAGGATAAATAAAGCCCACCTTCTGGGAAGGATTCCCTATCCTTCTCACAAAACAATTAAAAAAGTAAAAGCCTATGATAAAATTTGGGTTAAATTGTAAAAATACCTATTAACTTGTATCAAATGTACAAAAATACTTATAATTTTTTTTTTTGACGTACAAGTACTCGTAAACATTCAAAGCAAAAGCGATATGTCCGTTAAAATTATGGTGGGGCATGTGCTATTTTTAAGTACCAAAGTACCCACTCATACGCTCTTTTTGGGTACTTTTGGACCTAACCCAGGTTAATGGATTCACGTATTTTTTAAAGTGTCGGTTTTGGTTCATTTTTTAGTCACGAATATTTTGTTACTTCATCAAAATAGCGTGGGCCTCGTTATAAAAAGTAACAGACATTGACCTATCCTTCCTGTGAAGGGAGAGGTGTTAAATTGTCTAGCTCAAGGGAAAAAAACCGTCTTCCTTTCCAATTTCTTTTTATTCAAGAAAAAAATTGTACATTGATTTTAAGAATATTAGCGATTTTTTTATACACCTAAGGATGTTAATGTTGCATATATAGGTATCTGTATATACTTTTCTATTAAAAATATAGGTATCTGTATATGCTTTTTATTCATTTCTTTTGTTAAACCCTGTCAAATATTTTTCTGTGATTGTAATCTCTTAATTATTTTTCTCGTATTTTTTAAGTTTTCTATTTGTTTTATGATTTTCTTTGCCACAGTAGCGACCAACTTACAATCAGGTTATTTTTATTTGTATAAATAATTAAATCACATATTAATTAATCTAAATCATATACTCCTCCGGTCCTTAATATAGGACCTTATTGGAAAGTAGATATTGATCTTATATATAAGATCTATTTCACATGTTTATAATTTTTTTCCAAGTTAACCATATTGATATTTTCCTAACAATAATTAAGTAGGAGAGGGATAGAAAGAATTGATTAAGATACTTAGGATACTTTAGAAAAAGCATATCATATTAGCTAATTTAACTAATACCCTTAATCTACTCAAATTAGTTAATTAGGTCTTATATTGAAGATGAAAGCAGATGGTTTGGATGACATTTGGGCCTGAGAAGGTGGATCTTTGTGAGGTCTGGAGAGAAAGTCTGCTAGTGTGTTGTGGTGATTGCGAGGATGAACCAATCTTTTTACTGTGAATTTTTACTTCAAGAACCAATCTTTTCATTGAAGCAATTGATTGCGATGAAGAATTTTCTTCTTGTGATCTAATATCTTTAGAAAAAGATGTGTTGTCCATTTCCACTATAAAGTGGTAAGACTTAGATAAAAATTGAACTTTTCAATAACTTTTTTTATAACAAGAAAAGAGGTACTCTAACATATCTCATGATTAGGAGCTCATTTGCGAATTAGACTGGTAACATTCGGCTATCGACACTCTAAACTACTGACACTTTGGATACCACCTAGATATGTGTACAAAAAGCAAAGTTGTTTGCTCTGTGTGTGTCTTTTATTTTAAGTATTTCTTTAACTTCTGTAAAAGTAAAGTGTTATGATTGTTCTACTTTAGTTTTAAGTCATGTCTCTTTACTTTGTCAAAATATTCTCTAAGTTTGACTTGAAAGCTGGTTTTTGGCAACTGAGTAGTCATTCTAAAGACAGATACAAAATAGCTTTTTGCATACCTAATAAAGACAGAAACAAAATATTTGGCTTAAGGTTGCTCCATCACTATTTCAAAAGGCTATGATCAGGATCTTTGGGCTCATTCTTCTAATGCTCTTATCTATATAGATGACATTTTGTTATTTTCAGAAGATGAACATTCTTATAAGCAGCTACTATCTCAATTTCGGCAGATTGTCCAACAGTACAGGATTACGCTTTTAGCCCAAAAAAAAAAAGTCAAATTGGGTCAACCCAAATTAAATTCATGGGAATGATCTTTGAAAATGGTCATTACTTTTGATTAAACAAATCAAAGATTAATTACAACAACAAAAATTAAAGATTAATAGAGTTATGTCATTCGAAATTGGCAGAACTTTATTCAACCCAAATCCATTGGTGCTCTCCTAAAGAGAAGCTAGCTTGATTGCCAAAGCTTCATTGAAGGTATCATCTCCTAGAGAAGCTAACATGGCTGCCGACTGGGTTGCCAAAGCTTCATTGAAGAGGTCATCTCCTGATGAAGGGATTTGAAGACCTCCACCAAGCTTGAGGAAGCTTTTTTCTTTTGAAATAAGAAATTGTGACTAAACTTCAAAACACAACAAAAACAAAGCGCCTAAACTTCCTATCCTCTTTCATTAACCTCCACCTCTTGGAACAAGCTTAAGGAAGCTTTTAGATGAAGATACTTCTTCCTTAATTTTGATGTTGGTTAATGTTTTTGTTTTACTGTGCGAACTGTTTGTTTTGTCCTTGATTTTGTTTCTGGTTGTCTCTTTCTCAACCTTTTGTACTGTTGTTTGTTGGCCAAAAAAAAATCCGAAATTGGCTTGTATATGCGAGCTTTTAGAAAGTATTTCAAACGAAAATTTCTGTAATTTTAGCAACCGGCTACTCCTCTGGTCGATTTCTGTGGGAGGATCTTAAAGCTAAATATGTTCTGCGGACGCTTGTTTTACGAAACATCCAAGCTCAAGATCTCTAATGATGAAGAATCATCAGGGGAATTTCTTCATAAAAAAATGACAAGGTATCGAGCTCTTTCCAATCTCCATTGCTATTTTTATTCCTCAATAAGAAGTTTAAAAGTCACTCAAAACCCTGAGGATCATAAACACAGATCACATACTGTGCAGCCCAAAACATATGCCTATTCTATCATATCTTGGACTCAGCATAAACCCTCCACACAAATTACCAGCAAATTGGTCACCTTGAGTCATTATGCTTAATATCTTAAGCAATGTGCCCCGCTAAAGTGAGTATTTTGACATGTTTCTTCATCCTCAGCTCATGTGGGACTGGTCCAAAAACTCTTGTCCCAATCGGCTGCCCTTGCTTGTCAACAAGCACCACAGCATTATCATCAAACTTGACCTCACTGCCATCACATCGCCCCCTTTGCATTGCTGCGCGGACGACGACGCCATACACAACTTTTCCTTTCTTAACTTTTCCATTAGGATGGGCTTCCTTTACTGATGCAATTATGGTGTCACCCAATCTTGCACCTTTCCTCCCTTTTAGAGGTTGTATGCACATAACCTTCTTAGCCCCAGAATTATCCACGACCTTGAGAACAGTCCTCATCTGTATGAAAGAGCGCAACTGTTGCTGCTGCTAAAATGCATAACAATTTTAGTTAAAAAGACAGCACAACAGAGGATGGCAAAGATGTTTGAGTAATACAATAATACGGATCCTACTCTAAAACAAGCATGCCTTGGTTCCCATTCAAGGCATGACAATATGAGAACAAACTGCCGTCAAAATAAAACCTGTCTATACCATATTTTTACAAGCAGAAGAAAAGAAAAACATAATTATTATCAGGATGGAAAAGATACCAAAATTTTTATACTTGTTTGAACAATCCCAAATTAACATCTCAAATTAACGTAGACGTCTTACACGCCAACCTGAGACAAGAATTTGCTGCTTACGATCTCTTGTGATGTTGTGACTAAACCAGATAAACTATTGCCGAGCCCACCAAGCAGAGAATGTCCCACTGGTTCAATTTTCAACATAGGAGACAGAATGCAATAAGTTAACTACTTTAAAAATTTACCATCAAAAGTTGAAGTCACTCATTGTTTGCATTAGTGGGGAAAATAAAGGATATAGTACAAGAATTCAAGGATATAACACAAGTTTGCATGTGAGGAATGAAATAAACATTGGCTAAAGAGCTCAATGAGGTTAACAAAATAAGAATATTGATATGTTTAGTTGAAGGCCTACATAATTAGGAGACAAAATCACCAATAATCTATTCAGTAGTGACTACTGAGCAACCCATTTGTCCATCATCACCACATAAGTCAAAAGTAGCCAACCTTTTGAAACAAGGTTAGTATTGCTTCGAATTTTCTAGCTTCCCCCCCCCCCCACCAAAAATTTTCTATTGGCTTACGCAAGGTGAAATTTCTAAATCCAGAGATATGTTTTTGCTATGATAAACTGAAATGCATCCTAATCTGCTTAACCTTACAGCTAACCAGAAGTTCAAAAATTAAAGCGCCCGAAAAGAATCAAAGAATCACTTTCAGAAAATATTTAGCATGGCTATTTTTCTAATCATTCTTGAGCGAAGATAGCAGAATCTTAGTTATGTAGTTCAATAATTGAATTTCAAAACTAACCCCCGCTCCCCAAACACCTCCCTCTTGTCCCGGGGTCCTCTACATTCCAGCAAACATGTACACAATTGTTCAAACAAGCGATTATGTCCATGTCCAACACCAAATCTAAGCACCCAAGTAGGACCGTATATTGTAGAACCATGTTGGAGGTAAACATCTCAGCAATAAGCTTAGTGCCGTGCTAGTCCAGCAAGGATTATGATGCATCAATGCATTTAACTCTAGATAAATATAGTCAAAACCAAAGTTTGAACGTGTTATTACAAAGCCAGGCTGATGAGCAGATGTAGAAAACCAATAGGACGTGTAAATTTAAAGCTAGATCCTCATAACAAATGATTTAAATACAAAACCACGTACCACGAGAGCATTTAGATGCAAAACTTGCAGCCATCTTGGCAGTTTAAATCCCTGTATCCTACAAAAATATTTGATTGAATTAAAGAGTAAATTCGGATTGAAGTGAATAGAAATGAACAAGGATCTACTCGAGCATAGCCTTAGGCCGTGTTCTTAAACTTTCAGCTCCCACAACTTGTATTCTAGGTGCAACACTGTCGTTTCCTATTTTGGGTCACCCTTAATTAGTTTTATTTGCTGCCGCATCAT